ATCGGGATTCAACCGGCGACCTCCACCGCTTACCACCCGCAGACCGACGGGCAGACCGAGCGCATTAACCAGGAACTCGACCAATTCATCCGGCTTTTCACAAACTACAAGCAGGACGATTGGGACGAGCTCCTGCCAGCCGCGGAGTTTGCGTACAACAACCACATCCACTCGTCGACACAGCAGGTTCCGTTCATGACGGACACCGGTCGGCTCCCTCGGATGGGGTTCGAGCCGAACGGTCCACGCTCGCGACTGGAGGACGTGAACGACTTCCGAGATCGGATTGCCTCGGGGGTTTCGGAGGCCCAAGCCGCACTTGTCAAGGCCAAAGACGAGTACAAGCGGTACTACGACCGCCGACGAACCCCCGCACCGGAGATTAAGGTCGGAGATCGCGTGTGGCTTGACGCGTCAGATATCCATACCACACGCCCATCCCCGGGGCTTTCACATCGCCGGCTCGGACCCTTCCGTGTCTCGGAGGTTATCGGACGTGGCGCGTTCAAACTGGACCTTCCCCCACGCCTCTCCCGATTACATCCGGTGTTTCCCGTGGTGAAATTGGAGTTGGCGGAGGTTGACCCCTTCGGAGGTCGTCCGGGGTACGAGGAACCCCCGCCCGTACTTGCTGACGGAGCGGACAGCGAGTGGGAAGTGGAGGAAGTCCTGGACGCGAAAATGCGCTACCGAAGCCTCTGGTACTTTGTCCGGTTCAAAGGATATGACAACTCGCATGATCAATGGGTAAAACATTCGGACGTCTTCGCCCCTGATGCTATCGCGGAATTCTACCGCAAATACCCTGGGAAGCCCCGAGCCATCGCCGCTGCCACTTTCGACGCCCTTCCCTTCCAGGACCCCGCCACATCCTCCGCCCACATCCGAGCTGTGCGTCGAGGCGCCGCATTCCAAGGGGGGGTGATGTCAGGGGAACCCCCGTTTCCAACCCCCGATCCTCCGATCGATCCTCCGATCCGACCCCCGGATCCTCCGATCCGACCCCCGGTCAGACCTCCGCTATCCTCCGACGTTCCCCCCGCCGAGCCAAACCCCATCTGGACGGATCCCCGCACTCCGCATGGCACTCCGCATGTGATCGTGCCCGGGATCACTGCCGTTCACTACGCCATCAACAAACCATGCGCAACCCGTAGTTAGCCCTAGCTGGTATATAGGCACGCACCTGGCCGGGGAATCCTTAGACTTTCTCCTCTTCGGATCCCCCTGCCAGGTGCGCTTCTTCCTGTAGTAGTGTACTTCAATTGACTTCGGATCCCCCCTGCCAGGACTCTTGAGATATTTCGGGCCGCCAGGGTTGCCCTTACACCGCCCTGGAACAGTGGGAATTGGGTCACCCGACAATGGAAGGCAGGCGACTAATCATTCTCATGGTGGTTGGAGGAATGACTCAATATCTGGCCAAAGTTCAAGGCATGCCCACGGAAATTGAGGCACGTCTTGAGAAAGGATCAGAAGATTCTTGTGGGCGGAAAAAAACAGTGTGACAGTGAACAAAGAAACAGTCTACGCACCCACCGAGATAGGCGGTAGAAGCCTACTCGACATCATCACACGAAATGAAGCCATAACGGTAACATGGCTAAAATCCTATCTAAGCTTTGGTGATGACAGACCTCTCTGGAGCTTTGTTGCTGACGAAATTCTGGCCAAAGGAGCCCTCGCAGAAGACCTGAACATTGATGAGGCGCTCAGACGCAACATGTACCTACAATCCTGGAGGCCGAAAATAGCAGGTTCGAACCTCAGTGCGGACTTAAAACAAATGGTCAAAATTGGCGACAAATATGATGTGAGAATGGAAGCACTTGCCATATCCCGAGAAGCACAAAGGGAAGCCATCATCTGGAACCACGCAAAGTCCCATGCAACGAAGACCCTCTTCAGCAGTAACAAAGTAAATGAATGCTTGAAACTAAACCATAATATGATGTCCGTAGGTGATGCAGAAACCATAGCGAGGAAATCGGGCACTGCACGACACCAGACCAGAAAGGACTGTAAATGCAATGCCTGCAAAGAGGAAAGAACAAGATACAAATGCAAGGCACCACACAAAGGTTTCGCGAAGGCGAGAGAGATGCTGATGTCTTTAGACCCGAAATGAAATCCGCTGTTTCCGCACCCTGAGGACTGGGAAATAGAAGACCAGAGAACAATCACAGCTGATGCAGCCCAAAACACAAGCACTGATGCGGCGATTTTCAATAGCAAAGTGACACAAGAGACTCTGGCCGATACCTTCCGAATTTTCTGTGATGCAGAATTAACTGCCACGCTGCCGCCGACAAAGCTAGCCCCAGAACCCGACGAAGAACCCAACATTGTATACACTGACGGATCAGCAATAAATAACGGGCATGACAACACCCGGGCCGGAGCAGGAATCTTCTTTGGTGAGGGCGACACCCGCAACAGATCAATCAGAGTCCCCGAGGAATTAGAACCATCGAACCAAGTAGGGGAGATTATTGCTATTAAGGAGGCGATTGAAGGCTGCCCCCCCGATATTCCTATGACCATAATTAGTGACTCCAAATATGCGATAGATGGGCTCACCAAAAACCTCGAAAAGTGGGAGGACGAAGGGTTTCTGACCGTCTCAAATGGAGCCATCATGAAAGTAACTGTAGCACGGTTACGGGCAAGGAGAGCTAGGACGAGCATTGAATGGATAAAAGGCCACTCGGGAAATCCTGGAAACGAGGGTGCCGACAAACTGGCAGGCGATGGATGCCTGAAAAACATACCAGACCAGATCAACTTACAAATCCCGCGGAGACTGGTCCTACCCGGAGCCAAATTGAAGGCCATGTCCCAGTCCGTGGCCTACAAAATCATAAGACGAAGGAAAATGAACACCATTGCGTACTGAAATGCACTGGCAAGACCAAACACAATGAGAAATCTGAAACTTGCAAAGGGTGCAGCCATGAATATGGCGAATAATGCACCCACAACAGACAGGATATGGAACTCACTGAAAAACAAAGATATCTCGTGGAACATACATTTCTTCTTGTGGATGCTCACACACGATGCATACAAAGTCGGCCATTACTGGGAAAAGATTCCCAGAAGCGAGCACCAAGGAAAATGCAACTCATGTGGAGTAACTGAGTCGATGTCCCATATACTTACGCAATGCAGGGAACCAGGGCAAGAATTAATCTGGGACCTTGCAAGTGAACTATGGAACTTGAAAACGGGCTCCAATTTGCGACCCTCAGTAGGTGAGATAATAGCCTGCGCAACCATCAAGAAGTCAGATGCCGGTGAAAAAAGATTATCCAGAATCGTGATATCTGAGTCAGCACACCTAATCTGGAAGCTAAGGAACGAGAGAGTGATCCAAGCAAAAGGCCCAGCCTCGCAACGAGAAATAAAGAACAGATGGTGTGCAAGCATAAACAACAGGCTGGCCCAAGACTGTGCGATGACAGATGCTGTCAAATATGGAAAAAAGAGCATCCCAAAATCGGTCGTCGACAAAACCTGGAGTAAGGTATTGTGTGACGAAGACAGACTCCCTAAAGACTGGATGAGGGAGACCGGGTTTTAGTGGGTGTAGGCTAGACAGAGACAATGAAGATCTGGTGCGCCAGATCTGAGTCGATGAAGTCCAGCCTAATCCCCACACGAAGCGCAGCAAATTACGTGCGTCGGTGTGTTAATTAGCACATTTCCTCGGGCGGTTTATACTATCTGTCAGGCCGGGTTCTTAGTCCAAGGCCGCTATAATGGGGGAGGTCGAGACGACTTGGTCGGTCCACAAGGAGGGCAACAATGCCCCTCGAGGTATCCCGATCGTTCCGCAAAAAATATATATATTTGAGGTTCTTCTCGATAGGGAAGAACCTTATTGAGTGACTACTTATGTACAAAACATGCGGGCCGTACTACTAAGCTACAATGAGTCACCAGAACCCTTACCGAAGGCCGTTTAACCGGCCGACGATGCCGATGCTTCTAAATACGTATAGAAGGCGGTCTGTCGCATGTGGGTCTTGGTACAATAATATCCGTATATGTAATGGTCCGTATCAATCGCGAGAGGGAAGGTACACGTAACACCATGTTGAAGTTCGGGATCTATGCTTGGCGTTACGTGTACTTTCCTTCTTGCGATTGATACGGACCATTACATATACAGATATTATTGTACCAAGACCCACATGCGACAGACCGCCTTCTATACATATTTAGAAGCATCGGCATCGTCGGCCAGTTAAACGGCCTTCGGTAAGGGTTCTGGTGACTTATTGTAGCTTAGTAGTACGGCCCGCATGTTTTGTATATAAGTAGTCACTCGATAAGGTTCTTCCCTATCGAGAAGAACCTCGAATACATTGGTTTAACTCTATAACTCAGCTTAGGCGCTCACCACTTAGTCGTCCTCGTGGAGCAGTCTATTGACCAGCCTCGCTTATTCTAACACGCCAAGCATAGATCCCGAACTTCAACAGTGGGGGTGCGAGCGGGGTGCATCGCTTGCAGAGGATCGCAGCTGCTGCCCAGGAAACTCAAGTGGCAGCGGCATACCCAATGCGGGAAATGTGCCAAGCCAAATCCCACAAGGTTCTGCTTGACAGAACAGAGACAGCTGGTCTCGCACCACGCCGGCGCTGCCTGCTACTGTACAGGCATGGTCCACATCAAGACCGAGGGATCCGACAAGATTCAACTCCTCTGCAAATAGTAGGAGATCCAGCAGAGACTCTAACTGAACATCTGCATCTGGAGACGGTGATACTCCGCAGAGTATTCATAGAATGCAAATTCGACGACAAGATAGGAATACTGGCTGTGACCGACATGCACCTTTCAGCAGCACAGGCTGATGAAATACAACAAGATACTCCTCGGTAAGAGGATGACAGTCTTCAACTCAATAGATGTGGAACATCCCAACTCAAAGGGTGTCATTTTTGTACTGAATAACTGTTGAAGGTCCTTCTGGGAGTTCCCTTCACACTATAGGCAGAATAGCTCAGTTGGATAGAGCACCGGTACTAGAAACCAGGAAGTTGCGGGTTCAAATCCTGCTTCAGCCATTCTTTTGCAATTTAACAGCTGATCGTAGTGCGCGCAATCCCTGCGCCTTGGTGACGTCCTGTCTTTGATGGGACCAATGGGCCACTGATGGCAAGGGCATGCCGTGTGTGCTATTACCCGAGCAATAGCGATAATTATTAGCTCTTATCCACTGTAATTAGCGCTATCTATTACACTGTTATTGTGCCTGCTCTGTTCTACCCCAAAGGCGGCTACTTAGCGGTGGACACACACCTATCCTCCAATGCTAACTAGGACAGTTGTATGAGCTATATAGGTGGGCTGTTGTGAGATTTTTCTAATAGAAGCCAAATGGGGTATGGCATGGGGGGCTACATGTAACGAGGCTACATGTAACGAGCATCACAGCAAGACCCTGCACTTGTCTTGCTTCCCTCGTCCTAGCTCTAATGTCAACCTTCAGTGCAGACACTGCTGCTGTCAACAGCGAGCATACATGGTGGCTGCAGTGTGTGCAACATATCCGCTTGTGCCAAGTCTGTTAAAAGTGGGAACTCAGATGGTCTCAGATGGTAGCCGAAAAGGCAGATAGGGTCTCAGATGGGAGGTGAAAAGCCCAGATCCATTGCACACTAGGCTACTTATATACTGTGTATCAATAAGCAATCTGAGTAAGCATGAGTAATGCTCAGTAAGCACATTATAAGTAAGCAGAATGTAAGTAAGCAAAGATAAGTAAGCAAACACCGCCTTGTCTGAACCAAACAACAGAGTTCAACAAAGTCCCCAAAGTGGAAGTGTCCTAATCTTTCCTTTCTCTCATTGACTGACACTTTGGTCCGCTCAGGACACCACAGCCTTTTGAGTGGCTCGTGACACTGATGCATCTCCTTCCTGGCTCCTACTGCACACAAAACTTTGTTGCCCTGATCACAGAACCGCTTCCTGTTGCTGGGTAGGGTATTTCTTGGTTCACTATCTGCTCAGCACGCTCAGTGCTCATTGCAGACTGGCAGCTTTAACAATTTGGATGTCCCTGTCAATGACACAATCGCCTGCACCATCCAGTTCTATGAAGACTGTCTGAAGATGGTTACTTCCTAACAGATCATAGTGGATATTACTTTTTGGGAAAGTGTCTTGAAATGAAATCATAGCTGCAGACAATACAAGATGAGAGCCCAAGAAGGCAGGACAACAGACAAGAGCAAAACAAGACGAGAGAAAAACAAGAGCAAAGAACCAAAAACATGATAACCCAAGAACACAACAGGCACTGGCACAAGAGAACAAGACAAACCTGAGGCCACAGTGAAGAAAAACAGAAGGGCCAATGGCCATAGCCTGAGGAAAGCCACCAAGAGAATACAGCCACTGGGACATAACTGAGAGTGTGCCAAGGACCAGAGAAATCACCCCTGATACAGGGTATTGGTGACAATGGTGGTGGCAGAAAGGAAGAGCGGAGTGTTGAAGTTCGAAACTTATGCTTGACGTTACATGTACCTTCCTTCTTGTGATTGATACAGACCATTGTAGTATGGTCCACATGTCTTGTATATAAGTAGTCAGTCAGATCACTGAATAAGGGTGTTTCAGATGTGGGGGCCAAGAGAAGAGTTTTGGCCTTCCAAGTGCAATGGGAGGCATCTCAAAGAACATCAGCTTGGGTGAGGAATAGTCGTCATATTTCTCCCTCTATTCCCTAATCACCAGCTCAGAGTCATGTTAATGCTCCACATACTTCTGGTTCTTCATCCTGATCATCTGTGGAGCATCATCAGCATCCTAATGCCCAACATGGAGCTGTTATGCAGCCGCCCAATCAAAGACCCCAGAATACACAGGTAAGAGCACCATGTTTCAAATCTGATAAATTGTAAACCTGTTATCTAGTTCATACCTGCCTCTCATGATGACCTATGTGACTTTATTGCAGAATTCTGATGTGAATTTGACACATTTCGACAAGATGGACATACCTGATGTAGACCACCTGCAGTGCCTTCAGCTTCACGTAGACCCAGATCTCCTCATGCTGCATGCATTCCATGGAACTTCTCCATTTCCTGTTCTACCAAAAATACGAAGTGTAAAACCCAATCATCTACCAGCTGTAGATCTGCAGGTGGCAGTAAGTGAGCTTCTCAACAGAGATTGGTCCGAAAACACTTGCAAAAATTAATTCACAAAAATATCCAAATTGTCCCTGCTGTATCTCAAGAGGAGCGCCTCCAATATGAGCAGGAAGTCTTACTTCCTCACAATACCAACCTTGAAGCAACCTCAGAGGATTTCTTCTGTTTTGACATCCTTGGGACAGCCCATTCCCCATGGAATAATTCAGCTGCTCATGTATTTGCAGTCTTCACTATACATCAATTGTGCCTTCCAAACACAGTTGAAATGTTTCAGGCTTTACAACATGCTTCCAGCGCTCATCTTGAAACCATTATACAAAGATACAAACTGTCATTGAAGACAAGAATGAAGCAGTTACAAATCAAGATACATTCCCACTACCAAAACAGAAAATATCAGGTTCTCGTGTTCCTCTCCAATTTGCTTCTGTGACTGAAATATATCCAGGTCTTCCACCAGCGCCACTATCTAGCATATATGTTCAAGCCGTTACACAGACACATTGACATGTTAGAGTGTCTAGACATTGATGGGATGTCCAGTGATGAATCTGAGACAGAGAGTGTAAATGGGGAGCACCACACTCAGTATCAAATTCTAGCACCCTTATGGCGTGCCCGTGATATTGCTGCATGCGTACAGGTGTTTGATTCTCTTCATAACATTCTTAGAGTCTCTTGGCAACAACCACCACGTGGTCCTGATCGGCGTCTCGAAAATTTTCTTCGAGACTTGGGCATCGGGCGCGTAGTGGTCCTGGGCATTCGCGTTCAGTACATACCTACTAGAATACACAGCGGCTACGTGAACTATGAAAGACCTGAAGTGTAATGTCGCAGAACTCCAGGGGAACACCCCCAAATCAGCCGGCAATGGACCCGGTGTTAGAGAAAGAACTGCGCGGCCGCACAGCGAACTTGATAGCGCGCCCACAGTTAGTAGCGGCAGTCAACTCCTCAAGAGGCAACAAGATTCTGGACTTGGACACGGCTAGGCAGTACCTGGAAAACAGCGATATGATGACGAAGGGGGGGGCGCTTCACCCACGCCAAGCTTTTCACGACCTTAATGAAGGTCTCCTTGATGCCTCAGGCGACGCTAGGGAAGTTCGGTAACACACTGCGTGCGCTGGCGTACATGGGGGAGCAGATAGATGACCATGTGACGCGGGAGGTGGCGGATGCAACAGCTGATGCGGTGGGGGAAGCTATATCCCCCATTGTTGATGCAGTGGTTAAGAACCAGGAGAGCTTACAGAGAAAGGTGGAGAGGCTGTCGGGTACATTTTCCAATCTGTCTGTGGGGGTAGAGGCATCGAGGGACAAAATGCGCGCTTTGGAGGCGCAAGTGAAGGAGCTAAAGGGTGCAGTGGAAGCCGCAAGCGCGGCAACGTCGGCTGCAGCAGCGGAGGTGACGACTGCGGCCAAGGCGGTTCCGACAGGACCGAGATCATATGCGGTGGCAGCGGCGGCGACCACGCTGATGGCGGAGCAGGCGGGGCTGTTGGCGCGCGAGGTGCGCATGCGCAGACAGATTTTGGTGGACAAGCCGACGGATGCGGCGGTGAAAGCGCTGTCGGGACTGAGCGAGGTGGAGCTGAAGGAGAAGGCAAACCTGACGCTGGCTCTAATGACATCGAAGAGGGAGGGAGCAGCGTTTGTGGGGGCGAGGAAACTTCTGAACGGGGGAGTGGTCTTTGACTGCAAGGACGATGGCACTGCAGCCTGGATCAAGGGCGCCAAGGTTATGGTGGAGTTCATGGCCGCGTTGGGAGGGTCTTGTGTGTACAGGCCGTGACACGTTGAGCTAATAGCGGAGATGGTGCCAGTGGAGGTTAGAGTGGAGGATGCGGGGACGTGGCGCGTAGTGGAAGGAGACAGTGGCCTAGAGGACGGCGCAATAGTGGCGGCGCGATGGGTCAAAGCGCCTGAGTGGCGGGCTCCGAACCAGAAGGTGGCTCACCTGAAGGTGGAGTTTACAGACGCAGACGCGGCGAACCACGCAATCGACTACGGTCTCTTTTGGCACGGCAGAAATATTAAGGTGCGCAAGTCTGACGACGAGCCGCGCCGCTGCGTGAAGTGCCAGAAGTTCGATGGGCACTTAGCGTATGTGTGTAAGTCAGGGGTGGACGTCTGTGGATGCTGTGCGCAGAGCCACCGAATGGCGGACTGCCCAGTCATGGACTCGGGCACGATGAGGTACTCGAATTGTCAGGTGGATGGGCACGGGGCGGTTGATCGCTCGTGTCCGTTCTTCCAGAGGGAGGTGCAGAGGAAGAGGGAGAGGGATCCGACCGCGGGGTACCGTTATATCCCGACGGCGGACCCGAAGACGTGGGCTACGACGGCGGCGTCGCAGACCGGTGCGGATATGGGAATGACCTGGGGTGTAAGAGGCCAGGGAAGACTCGCAGGAGGATACATGGGTCAGGGGGGAGGTGCCCCGCTTGACTGGAGCCTGGACTTGGAGCCTGTGTTATATCCATGCACATTCGCCGACATCCTCCGACATCCTCCGACATCCGATCACCGAGTTATCGGACATTCATCGGACATTCATCGGTCACACGGGTTTTTACGCAGTGAAGGATTACTGAGCGTTTCCCGTTTATCCGTCTTCTTTCTTATTGTCTATTACTTCTTCAACTCCTTACGACTTATCGTTATTGTTATGTCTCTTGATCATCTTGATATTTCCTTATATGACTTAACAATTAGATACTTAGTATAAATATGCTTTCTACAAACATGTATTCTTCAGTTTGATTATTAACGTTGCTTGGCTATTCACCTCGCTCTAAGTCGACCTCCGATCTCCGTCGATCTTCCTATACTTCTGTCTTGTTGTCAGCCCAGATAGTAAGCACGCCCTTGTCTCCTGTGGCGCTTGCGTA